CGGTATCTCCTCCTGCACTTGTCCTTCGTCATCCGTCGAGTGACCAGCGTCCCCTTGTGGCCTTTCATATGAGCAGATGCCGTCCTGAAAATGGAAACACACACGCACACACACACACACACACATACAACACAAGGACAAATTAGCCAGTACAGCTCACATAAACACAGGATAGGGCACAACTTATTCAATTGAGGTCGCTTTGGAAACTACCAGTAATTCTTGAATAGAGCCTGTGTTCTGCATAGGTCGCAAAAGGTTATGAAAGTTGAGTTTGCTCACACGCAGGCTTGTTCCCCCAAAATTATTCTTATAAACACTTGAAGAATAAGATGATAAAGTGCTTTTGACGAGCAGCCGTTCTCATTATAAAGTCCATCACGTACAATTATTCTTAAGTTTTGTACACTTGTTGCATCTTAAAAGAGCAGTTTATAATTTACTTGATTACGCACTCACATTTTTTTGCAATGAAGTAGACTTTGCCATTACAATCGACTACATTACTTATATTTAGTTTAAGTAGGCTCTTATTCAATATTTACCGGTTATCAAATATAAATAATTTAGCTAATTGCAATAGCGAATAATGTGATTTGTAAGAGGCCTTGAAATCGACGTATGTTCTGTGACCAGGTGGAACACGTGGAAGTGTGGGATAGCAATGACATTTTTCGTTTATATGCAGGTTTCGTATATGTGAGATATATATTCACTCTATTTCGTTTTAGGTGATGAAGTACCGGTAATTGAATTTTTTCGTAATCTAATGAGGTAGGTCTCATGTCCCCAAAAGGTATTCTTATCCAGACTGGGTTTGAATGTGGTTTTGACCCTGGATGGGAAACCGCTTCTTGAAGCAAGGTTATGTGAAATGCAATGGGAACACAAGGATATACTCATCTGAGTATGGGGCAATTCAACTATCTGTCTTTCATCATCGCATACGACCTAGAGTTTTAGCTTTTCGACTCTTCTGTGGGCCGGACTGAACCTCTCGAAGCGGCTCATCAGCATTGGTCTCTGAGCGGCTTTACTTCGACGCCGTGCTGCCTTCCAACCAGATGCCGACTGGAGGGGAAAAGACGAAGTTGAGGGAGTGGGGACAATTTTGCTTCGTTTCAGGTCTCGTCAAGATTGACGAAGCAGGCTTCGAGCTCAAGACACGAGTCGGAGCTGTGATGGGAAGAAGGGCCTTCTTGGTTGTCCTAACAACAACCCATCTCCTAGACCAGTGATTCCCAAACTGTGCGCTTCAATTTGAGAAAATGTGCAGTGATTTGCATGCTCATCCATCACATTAATTATTAAACATTAATTTAATGCTAATAAAACTTTAAAAAAATAATGAAGATACACGAGTTTTATTTATTTTTATCTCTTACTTACGAATAGTCATATTTAAGGGGATTGTCTCAATTCCTTCAGAAAAAGTCTCTACGACTATTTTATTAAAATATTATTTAGTTCATTTCATGTAAAAGGTGGGCTTTAAGGATCGCCTTTAAGGTTCGATGAAGAATTGCATTGCCCTTTTGTGTGCATGTGTGTGTGTGTGCGTGTGAGTGTGCGTTCACGATTGTTGCAAGCATAGACACAAAGTGCATTTTGCTGATGAACCATCACAATTTCCATCAATTTCGAAACATTATTCAGAGTGAAAGTGTTGGATGAAGAGATTCGAAGGTCGCTTCCACCAGAAGACGACGGCGGATTCCTCTTGACCAGCTGTCGATTCGCTTTACTGGAACATTCTTGCTGACGCTGTTTCTGAGGCAGTCTCCTTCAATTCCAGTGAAAAGGTGCTAAACTTTCGTCCATCGCATGACGAACATCATCAGAGCAAGTAGCATCGTCACAACACAATTCAATCTAACGAGTCAAGAACACTTATACATACACATACAAAGACAGACACACTCGAAGGAGATAACCTCGGAAACAGCGTCAGCATGAATGTTCCAGTAAATCCAATCGACAACTGGTCATGAGGAATCCGCCATCGTCTTCTGGCGGAATCGACCGTCGAATCTCTTCACCAAACAATCACTCAAAATGGAAGTATGACCAGCAATTAGGAAATAAAAGATTCCTCAAAACCCAACTTTTCTTCGCATATATTCGATGATTTCCTTCAGATAAGATTGCCGTTGGGCTTCCATTTTGTATGAAAGTGTGTGCCGTAAAGAGATTCGTTATTTGAAGGTGACGACCGATTCCTGTTGTCAGGTGATTTAGTAGACATTCTCAGAGATGGAATTCAGTCTTGGAAACGACTCAAGTTAACACTAAGTCAAGAAGATTCAGTCTAAAAGCTCGGCACATTTTCACCCGAAACGAGGAATGATGCCTCGTGGATGCGCCAACTTGGATGTCGTATAAAGCCAAACGACTGGTAACTAACATGCTTCAGCCATTGTTTATCGGTGAGATCGGCCTGCGAATCTTCTCGGTAGATACAATTTCACTAAAAATGGAAGTCTGTACGAAATTTCATCACAACCTAATCAACATAGGCTCGGCTAACCTCAAAATAATCACTAATTTAGCCATAAAATGTCCCGATTTACGCAAAAAAAGTGATAATTAATTACGGGTGCCTTCCTTTCCTGGCAAATACATCAACGCATACTCACACCAATACATATGCGAATGTATTGTGATATGACTTTTATTTCTAAAGAAAAATTTTTTTGGTGGTTATTCGAGAATTGGTATCATCATAAGCCTTTGAGTGAAGACTGTTGGTTTGTGCGAACAAGTCCTCGACCCCGGTGAATCTGTGCTAAGCTTTCGTCTGTCCTGCCGTGACAGGCATCGTCGGATTAGGAAAGCATACTTTACGGAAAAACGCACCAAATACAATAAGTCAGAAAAGAAGTGTGATTCTATTCGAAAATGGCGACTTTTGGCAATGCCTCTCACATGAAAGACGAAAGCTTGGCACGAGTTTATCGTGCTCGCATGACGGTGAGCCGAGGACTTTATGGTACAATCCAACAGTCTCTACTCCGCGGCAATCCTCCGTCAGTTTCAGATGAGACCAATTCACCAATTCCTTCCAGCCAAATTTTCCTTTGAAACCAACAGTTGAGCAACAATAAATCATATGTATGAAATGTGTACGTGAGACGGTAGTTGCATTTTTCCACAATTATATGAATGGACCATATATTTCGATTGAATTTCACTTGGCCTTGCATTCCAAAAGATATTCTCTTCCAGGATGAAGAGAACTGCAATTTACGCCTCAACGTCAGCATCTTCAGCGGAACACGAACTTTGAAAGTATTTATTTTTCCTTTGTAATTAAGTCTCCGAGATTAGCAGTAGATTATTAATATATGAAGGATATTCTTCGTATTTCGTTTAAAGTGGATGCACTTTATATAAAAATGATCTACTGCCAATCTCCTTAAAATAAGTAAAGTAGTCGATATATACTATTTAACTCAAAATAAATGACTAAAGAATTCTTCAAAACCCAGTTTTTATTCAAACATAAAGGCATTTTCTCAAGTTAATGCATGACATGAACTAACCAAATATCTATCTACCACACACAATTTCATACATGTTTTTAATTCATACGTATCTTCTAGACTAGTTAACTTGAAGAAGCCGCAATAATGTTTTGACAGCCAAGGTTAAGTCTGTCATATGACATAAAGAATGTCATCGAACCCGGCCCATATCACTCGAAGAGAAAATGAGTCCAAGAACCTGTTGCAATCCCATACCAGTGACAACTTTCAATTTCGTTTCACTAAGGCATACCCACACACACACACACACACACACACACCTTTCAATTGCGACCGATCCTTCTATCCAAATTATAGCCTAAGGCTGGCCAAACAAGTGTTCTTTTTGAGCAATCATTTAGACTTGGCCGATATTTCATACTTATTATGAACACAATTGTCATCAACTCCCATACATTCCCATGGATTCATCCACTCCTCTCGGTATATTGCAATGATGATAGATAGCACTTACCGCTCTCTGTTATGTGGCCAACATGTTGCTGTTTGTTAGAAGAAACATTCGGAAATAGTTTATGCTAGTAGGTTTCAGGACCTCCACCATTTCCTGAATGAGAAGTTAGTCGCCTTGGATCCTCTATAAAGAGATGAGTAAGCCTTATGAAAATAAATTATTATAAAATTATGAAAATCACTAAAAGTGTGATTTGGATAAAGCCTGACTAGTCGTGAATGTCGCCCCCCCCCTGTGACCCAGTGCCACCTGACGATATTCCATAGCCGGGTTCGAATCCCGTTGGGGGAGCTGATGATAGACGGACAATCCTGGATGAGATTGCCTTTTTGGAGGCAGGTAAAACATTAAGTTCCTATTTTTCGAATTAAGTATTGTTTTCGTGACTATCAGTAAATCAGTAGTATGAGATGTTTTCACCCAATTTCGATTAAGGTGATGATATGAGTTGAGCTTACGTTTCTATTTAATTTCACGGTTCGACTCCCGCTGGGGTTGTTGATAAGACCGAAGTGAGGTCGAAACTGCAGTTCACTTTTGGGAAAGCAAGGATATGTTAAATCCAATGGAAACGTCAGCTCAACTCATATGATTGTGGGAAAATTCTTCTTCTACCAGTCCTTCATCACGTTAAACGAAATTGGGTGAATTCATTTCATATTAAGTTGTTATTCACTGATTGTCTGTTGCTTCGAGACCCTCTCGAACGAAAAATGCCCCCTAATTGTTTAAACAGTGTTTACCTCGTTAATTCTCAACAGCTCAATGACGACCTCTCCGATGGGCGCCAGTCGGCGTCGCTTGTGCGCTTTCAGCAGCATCGACGAGCCGTACATGCTAGACTGGCTGTGAGCGACGCTATGTCCTTCGCCGACTCTCGCGTTGTTAAGGGCGAGTCCCGAGTCGTGGAGACCGGGGCCTGGAGGGGGCGGATCGGTGAGCACGGTGAAAGGCTGTCCTCGTGGCCATGCCGGTGTGATCGGGCAGACGGGATCCGGATCCGCTTGTGGCGAGTCGCGTTCCACCATCGGCACATACGTGTGTCCCGGTGCCACTCCGGCGTCCCAGGGACCGAGGTCGAGTCGCAGACGCTGCGGCCA